GGAGCCCATGGACAGCCAAAAGGACAAACAAGTGGGTCCTAGAGCAGAGCAGACCAGACACCTCCCTGGAAGCCAAGATGACCAAACTGAAGCTGTCGTACTTCGGACACATCATGAGAAGGGAGGACGCTTTGGGGAAAAAACAATAATACTAGGAAAGGTGGAGGGAAATAGGAAGAGAGGAAGGTCACATGGCAGATGGATGGACTCTATTAAGGAGGCCATGGGTATGGGGTTGCAGGATTTAAGCAGAGCAGTGAAGAACATAGGGTCTTGGAGATGTCTCATCCATAGTGTCGCCATGAGTTGAGATCAACTCGAAGGCAGTTAACAACAACAACAAATGGGCCACCTTGAGACCCTCAAGCTACCTTGAGTCCCTATATTGGGAGAAAGGTGGGATATAAATATGATGATGATGATGATGATGATGGTGATGGTGATGGTGATGGTGATGGTGATGGTGATGGTGATGATGATGGGCTGCTTTGCAAAGATTGGGACCCTGGCCTTGGACCCCTCCTTGTTCTTTTCCAAGTGATTATCCTGAAAGCCCAGCACTCTGCACATAATGAGCTACTAGATCTGAACAGTGCAGTCTTTTCAACTTAAACAATACACAGGCAAGAGGCACAAAAATCTGTTTCCTTAAACAAACAACAAAATCAGTTGACCAGTCAGCTCATGTTATTATCACTGTTTTATTTTTTTTAATATATAAAATCAAAGAAAACCACAACCTGTGTCCTTAAAATACAATTCTTCTCTTTGGGGAAGTGGTGTTATAAAATCACATTGAATCCCACACTCTCTGCCTTTACATCATATGTCCACTTTGCATCTCTCCTCAAAGATACTAAGCAGTGGGCAATGTGTGTTAAATGCAAGGGAACTGATTCCCAAACTTTTGGCTATAAAGGCACCCTAAGACAATTCCACCTTTGCAAGTTAACTCTAGATTGTTTAAAAAACAGTTCAGCAACCAGATAATTACATAAACAAACAAACAAGCAGACAAGGTAAATTTGAGCATCTTAGGCTGCATTTGTACTGCAGAAATAATCCAGATTGACACCATTTTAAGTGCCATGGCTGAATACTATGGAATTCTAGGATTTGTAGTTTGTTGTGGCACCAGAGCTCTCTGACAGAGAAGGCTAAATATCTCACAAAATACAAATCCCAGAATTCCATAACATTTAGCCAGGGCAGTTAAAGTGGTGTCAAACTGCATTATATCTGCAGTGCAGATGCAGCCTTAGAATCAGACCAACCCTTCTCCTCACACCTGTCCTTATGTAACTTTGCGCTACATCCAACCAGCCAGTGTGACCACCTTCTTTACTGGCCCTGGCTCCTGTGCTATGAGCTCCTGCAGACATCAACAACTGATAACATTCACCTTTATGCTTTCTGCAAACCTAGTTGCTGCCAAAGGCACAGGAGCAAGCCAGACTGACTTGCAGAAGTAGTTTATAATCCAGGAAAATTCATGCTAAAATAAATCTGTTACTCTTTGCTGATATGCTGACATGGAGTAACACAGCTAATCATTCAGAAATTTCTATTTGTTTGTTTTTCTGGGCAGCAGATAGCCTGCACCTAAAACACCACACAAGAGCTCTTCCCAGGGAGTGGGGGGAGGAACTATTACATAAATGTGGGACCTTTGTTTCCCCTCCAACTCTAACAAATACCAAGGAATATATATGAAAATGAGGAATTAATGTCATATGCACTCACAGCATCTACGATTGTTCTATATTATCTATAAGAAACAGCAAAAAGATAATCGAAGATAAAAGAATGGCTGGCGGGGAGAGATTATGCATTAATGTCAAAACTGATTTGCTGTTTATGCATAAGAGATGGTTGAGGGGGGAAAGGAAATACTTATTAGGAAAGATGGCCTTCTTTTATTAATTTGTAAAATATTTGAGGGCTGGCTCAGTCAGGATCAAATCTTGCAAAGTATTTTACACCCTAATCTAGTATGACATGATCTTACATAATCCTCACTGAAAAGGATTGCCAGATGAACTCAAGAAACATACTCAGCCTGGCCCAGTATATGGAAAAGTTTGCCTGCTGTTTATAATAGCAAAAAGTGTTTTCAAATAATAAGGAAAAGCAATAGTCCATGAATTAGCATTGCATTTTCTTGAGAAAATTTGTATGTAACATGTGTGTAACTTGTGGACTCTGGGAGACCACGCTTCAAATCCCTGTCCAGTCATGAAAATCCACTAGGTGACTTTAAGCAAGTCACACTCTCTCAGTCTCAAAAGAAGGCAATGGCAAAACCTCCTCAAAATAAATTTTCAACAACCCTACCATAGGTTCGCCACAAGTCAGAATAGCTTGAAGGCACATAACAACAACAAATACTGTGCCTAAAGGACAGTTCCTCAGTAAGCTCAAAACCTTTACTGCTAGATGCTGCCAGCTTTCACATCTGAGGGAGAAGACTGTATGGGGAAAAGTGCTGGAAGTACAGTGGGCCCTTGGTATCCGCTGGGGTTTGGTTCCAGGATCCCAGTGGATCCCAAAATCTGTGGATGCTCAAGTCCCGTTAAATACGATAGCATAGCAAAATGGTGTTCCTTATATAAAATGGCAAAATCAAGGTTTGTTTTTTGGAAATTATATTTTTTGAATATTTTTAAGCCATGGATGCTTGAATCTGCATATAAAGAATCTATGCATATAGAAGGCCAACTTTTTAAATCTGTGTAAATCTTATTTGGCCTTTTAAATTAGTGTGTGTCTTAATTGATGTGTTTTAACTGTTGTTGTTTGTTAATTGTTGTTGTTCCCTGCCTCGATCCATGGGGAGAGGCAGGTAAGAAGTTGTTGTTGTTGTTATTGATGTTGTTACCACCATCTGAAGAACAGGAGGGCCTTCAAGAACTCTACCCAAGAGATGAAAAAAAAAGTAATGCATAAAATATACAGGATCTCTCTTGTCCCTATTTTGTATTTTATTTTATTTTATTTTATTTTATTTTTTCCTTAAAAATATATATTGGCTGGCACTTCTGCTAGCATTCTGCTGTCTTAAGTGAAGGTCAAGATGGTGTCCCACCCACCACACCGATCTATGTATTGAAGCTGCTGGGGCTGGTGATTCAGTCTTACTTGATCTGACAATGAGATAATACTTACACCTCACTTGAGGCAGCAGTTGTATAGCATGCAGATCTTTGTCCTGTAACAGACAGGAACAGGCAGGAAATTTAGGAGAAAGAGCCAAAAGGTTGCCATCAGTGCCACTACTGCCCTTGTTGTTGTTGTTGTGTGCCTTGAAGTCATTTCCGACTTATGAAGACCCTAAGGGGAACCTATCATGGGGTATTCTTGGGAAGATTTGTTCAAAGGAGGTTTGACATTGCCATCCTCTGAGGCTGAGAGAGTGTGACTTGCCCAAGGTCACCCAATGGGTTTAATGGCAGGAATTCGAACCCTGGTCTCCAGAGTCTTAGTCCAATGCTCAAACCACTACGCCACCCGGCTCTACTGCCCACCTTACCATGCATTTACTGCTTGAGGTGGCCACCTGACTTTGTTTAATGACAGCAGCCAGCTCTGTCTTTAAAATTTAAGAACACTGTGACCTGTGGATAAGAACGGATAGCGATGTAAATAAATGAAGTCCCAAAGGATATGGAAAGTCTTCAAAAATGCCTTATTCATCTTCATCTTCATCAGTGAGTTAACTGTACTAGCCAAAGGACATGACAATTTTTAAAAATATATAGAGAGTATACAAAAAATACAAATGGCACAACATGATTTTACAATTAGTAACAAGAGCTGTTACAAAGCTATTAGAAAGAATATCTAATTCAAAACTGTAGGTAAATGTCTAAGTTACTAACAAGAAAATAAAATTAATGGGAACTGTAGTCCAAAATTCCATGGCCAATGGGATTTGGGGGACTGTAGTTCGGAAAAAAAGCCTCACGAACTTTCCCAAGGTTTGTATAAATTCCAGTACTCGATCTGACACACTTGACACACTGTAGCACAAGGCGGGATTTGTGTGGGTGTCTAGATGTTGTTGGACTGCATCACCCAGCAGCTCTAGCCAGCCTATCTAATAAAGATGAATGCTGGGAACCCAATTCTCATCCTTGTAATTGCATGACCAAAAACCACAATCCCAGACAAGGCTATAGCTTGGCCAAGAGGAGCAAATTGGATTCTCAGGGTCAAACTAAGCAAGGGGACAGCAGATCCCACAAATGGATCTGCTGCATATATTTGTTTTATTCATTATTTAACTTTTGGTAATAAGCTATGGAAGAAGGAAGAAAGACCATATTGGAAGCTAAGGGATGAATGAAGGGTTTATGCACCTTTATGTTCCCCACCCCAGAATAAATAGTAGCTTCAGAGGCAGGGATATCCCAAAATACTGTGTTACCTGACATAAAGACCAAGATAATCTCTGTTCACCTCCTTTTCCTAGCCCCCAAAAGACAGGTTAATGAGAAATTTAATCTTACTTTACGAATGCCAATAGACAAAACCTCTTCTACCATACCTGAGAGCAAGATCCAGGTTTAAGATGTACAGGATGTGAGTAGGATGTCAATTCATTGCAGGTTTTAATTCAAGGTGCTGAACCCTATTGGCAAGGACATATCCAAGATGCTGGATGTACAGTGGACCCTCCACATTCACTGGGGTCAGGGATGCAGGACCCCCATGAAGTGGGGAAATATATATATATATATATATATATATATTTTATCTGATAGAACATATCTCTAGGAATCTGTGGGTTCTCCAACACAACTCTGTGGTCAACAGCCAGCAAAAGTTGACTACACAAGTCACACTAGAGGACCTATAAATGCATAGAGAAGTGTTTTCTCTAGGAATCTCTTGGTCCTCCAGCGTGACTCTATGGTCAACTTCTGGCAGATTTGCACTAGAGGACCTAGAGATTCCTAGAGAGAACATATTATTCAAATCCGTGAATAATCAAAGCCGCCAAAGTCAAAGCTGCAAATGTGCAGCGCTAACTGTATTTAGGAATACAGTTCTCTACCTCGGAGAGCTTCTTTAAATCTGGCATGGATTCACCTTCCCACTGACATGAGAGCTGGCAACCACCATTGTATAACAAGTCATATGGCACATAGACCTTCTGCCTATCTCCTGCTGTCCTCACTTTGGCTAATGGTAAGGTGCAATTTAGATCAGGAATCTATCAAAAGAGGAAAGCATTCAAACCCCCTTTTCCAGCACTGTTTCCACATTCCAGTTTAGGCACCCCTACCCCATGAATGCTTTTAACTTCTTATTATTTTAAAGAGCAGGAGATCCAGTCTTCTTTTGCCATTTCATGTTTGATCCCAGTGACTGGGGTCACCAAACAACAATGCCTATCTTGAGAGCATTTCCGGAAGAATGTGGTTGAATTTGGCAGCATGAGCTTGCATCTGAGGAAGTAGACTTAAGTCTACAAAACTCATGCTAACAATTTCTTTCTTTTAGTCTCAAAGGTGCTACAAGATCTCTTTACAAGCTTTTTAGACTATATCCTGGCAGGCAGAGATAAGCAAGTTTTTGTCACTGCAGAAATATACTGAATCTACAGACTAACATGGCTATATCTTTGATTTATAGTCTAGGCTTGTTACAGACCTGGCAGAAAATTGCTTCCCTTGCCCATGGCCTCTGTACCACAGAAGCTCTCTTCTACAACCAGCAGTCACCCAACACAGAATTACAAACAAGCACAGTGTGCTTCATCATGAAATGCCATTTATTTTTATTGAATGTGAATGGTTGCACTGAGGTTGTACACTCATTAATTGGGTATATCTGTCACCTGTAGAATGTTAGATTAGAAAAGTTATTTTACATTTCTATAAAGATGTGCAAGATGACCCTGTAGGCCTAGAACAGGAAGAAGTAAGAGCACCCAGATAGAGACTAGTTTCACCAGCTTGTTGTTGTTATTGTGTGCTTTCAAGTCATTTCTTATGACTTATGGCAACCCTAAGGCAAACCTATCATGGGGTTTTTCCATTGCCTTCCCCTGAGGCTGAGAGCATGTGACTTGCTCAAGGTCACCCAGTGAGTTTCATGACTGTGCAGGGAAGGGAACCGTGGTCTCCAGAATTGTAGTTCAACACTCAAACCACTACACCATGCTGCTTCAGTTTCACCAGCACTCCAAACTTAAGAAGGAAGCGATGTGATGGGACTTCTCATTTCCTTTTTGGACAATTTATTTGCTTTTTGGGTGGGGAGGAAAGCAAAATCAACACACTATGCAGCTGTTTTGAGCAATGGGAAGGGGGTAAAATCACCCTTTTTAAAAAAAATTGGAGGGTCTGGTGGCTTGGAGGATGTCTTGAGGAGCTGAGGGTTTTACAGGACCCATAGACCAAATTTTCCTACTGTATGCTAGAAGAAGATGAATTCTGTGCCTGAAAGAGTTGTATGTGTGATTGGTAAATGTCCTCTGAATATGTTGTGATTTGTGCAATGAATTTAATAGCATTTAATGAAGGAATAAGGCTGCTCCTGCTGTTAGGCAGAGAAAGAAAGAAAGAAAGAAAGAAAGAAAGAAAGAAAGAAAGAAAGAAAGAAAGAAAGAAAGAAAGAAAGAAAGAAAGAAAGGCAATGCGGTAGCAAATTCTGGATGTCAGGAAAGGGCAACAAATGATCTGTTGTCTCATTGCTTATTATTGTATTTTTACTGCTAAAAATCGGGAGAGTTGCTTGAGGGATTTTCAACTTCATGTGCTAAAATAACTTGGCTGGCTTTAAATGCTATGCATCTTGACATGGGCAGATTGTGTCACTAACTAATCCACCTCAAGAAATGAAATGTTTGGGGCTATCACTGTAAAAGGCCAGAGCCAAAGATCTCATGGCCAAAATTCTTTAAGAACAACCATTTGGCTTCTTTTGTTGTTGTTGTCTGCCTTCAAGTCATTTCTGACTTATGAGGACTGCAAGATGAACCTACCATGTGTGTTTGTGTGTGCATTTACACTGTAGAAATAATGCAGTTTGACACCACTTCAAGTTCTATAGCTCCATCCTATGGAATCCTGGGATTTGTAGTCTTACAAGGGCTTTAGCCTTCTCTGCCAAAGAGTGCTGATGCCCCACAAAACTACAAATCCTATGATTATGTAGGATGGAGCCATGAAAGTTAAAGTGGTGTCTACATTATTTCTATAGTGTAATACACCCCAGGGTTGTCTTGGTAGAATTTGTTTAGAGGGGGTTTGCACTTGCCTTCCTCTGGAGCAGGGGTAGGCAACCTAAGGCCCGGGGGCCGGATGCAGCCCCCCAAGGCCTTCGGACCGCCCCCAGGCCAGTCCTGCTGCCGCCACCGCCGCCGCCCACCATGATGATATTGATTATTGTTGTTATTACTTGTTCTTGTGATTTTCTTGGCAAAATCTCTACAGGGGTTTTGCCATGGCTTTTCTGGGGCTGAGAGAGTGTGCATGCATATATTTTTAATTTGTTAGTTTTTTTAAAAAAATTATTTATTTATTTATTTATTTATTTATTTTTGGTGCTTCGGCCCCCCAGTTGTCTGAGGGACAGCAACCCGGCCCCCGGCTCTAAAAGGTTGCCTACCCCTGCTCTGGAGGCTAAGAGAGTGTAACTTGTCCAAGGTCACCTGTTGGGTTTCCATGGCCAAGTGGGAATTCGAACCCTGGTCTCCCAGTGTTCTAATCCAGTATTGAACAACTACACCACACTGCTTCTCTGACTTTTTCAGCAGCTAGAACCAAAAGTGGGGAAGAGAGAAAAGTGACGAAACCAACTTGTTGACAGATTCCGAAGAATACATGGCCTACCAGCAATTTGCAAAGCGTCCCTCCGACAAAGCTAATTCCTGTTCGAGGAAGATGTGCATTAACAAACTGCTCTTATTTATCTGTCACACTTGCTTCTTTCTTCAGGGGATTCAGGGTAGCATAGCTGGGTCATACCCCATTTTGTCCTCATAATAAGCCTCTGAAGAAGTAATTTTTCCAAAGCCACTCAGCAAGATTAATGGCAATTTACCTTCCATAAAGGGCTTAAATACCCTAAAGCCACCAGATTCTGTCTGATCTTGGAAGCTAAACAGGGTCAGCCTTAGATGAGTACATGGATGGGAGACCATCAACGAATACCAAGTTCCATAGGCTGTATTTTGGAGGAAGGAACTGGAAACACCACCTCTGAGTATTCCTTGCCTAAGAAAACCATACAAAATTAATAAAGTTGCCATAAATCGTCAGGAAACATAAAGGCACTGGAAGTCTTGCTTGGGCTTCCAGCTTCACTCACTTTTCCACACATTTACACCCCATTTCTCTGCCTTGCTCTGCCAAATGTGGGGTTTTTCCCTGCACCCATATAAACACAAATCCAAACTACAAGGTCAGTATAATCTGACCACCCATCCAAGCCTGGCCCAGAAATTAGGCAGAGTAAGACAATTGCCTCACCCAGCAACATGCGGATGTCAGAAAAAGGCATAA